CTACATCGGGAGCTATATTTCCTATAAGGTATATAGAAACTATTTATAATCAACCTCATTGAATGCGCTCCTCAAATTGAAGAATATAAGGGATATTACAACTCCAAATTTCTAAGCTGAATAGACTATATCGGTAACTACCCGGACTATAAATTCTATTAAATAATTTACCTAATTACCTATCTAACCCTCCGGCAAGAAATTAAACTTATTAACTACTTATATAAATCTCTTAACTATAAAGGCTTCGAAGATTTTTCTAATATTATTGAGTAGTAATATAAGCCTCTATACGCCTACCAACTTTGATTAAATAGCGCTTTTCCTAGGCTTCTTAAGGATAACTATTTTCGCATCCTTAAACCGTTATAGGAAATATCCGAGCCGGAGGCTAGCGGTTATTAAATATATTATCACTTCTTAGAACGGTTACCTGCATAACTTTAAAAATCTATTCAAATACTAATCAACGCCCGGGGCCTTACTAAGCGCTATTCGGGAAAGAACGTCCTGAACATCCTCTTTAGTAACTAGTTCGCTAATAACTATTGGGTTAATACTACCTATTGATTCAATTTAATCCGGTTGATATTCTATCAGAATATCTACTCTTAGGAAAAAGCGGTTGGTAAAAATTTCAACCTTACTACTATAGTCTTCAATTTCTACTACCCCCTCGTTAGTTCGGAAGGCTAATAATTTGGGTAAATCTACCGGGCAATAACTTTAAGTCCGGGCCTATCTCTCTAGAAGCTAAAATTAATTTAGATTTTCCAAAACTTTAACAACGCCTTCGCACTATATAGCCCGCTATACTTCTAAAATAATCATCTTCTTTCTCATTATTATTTCAACGAATTCCTTCTAATTCAATAGCATTCGGCATTTAAATTACGTCCAATACTTCCACTACGCTTCTTTTATAACCGTTTTACATTCTAATATCTACTAATCCACTTTCCTCCCTCGACTTTTCTTCCAATATAGGACGAATTCCTTTATAATACTAATAAATTCTCTATCGAACCTACGAAAACCTTACTCGAAATCTTCTATTATATTAATCCTCTCCGGGACCGGAATCCATTTTTCTGCTGCCTCTTTCACCTTTATTATATTTATAAAACGCCAACTATAACCTCCTTACTTTTCTACCTTCCTATTTTTCCTTCCTACTTAGACCCAAATTTCCTAAGGGTAATAGTCCGAACCTATTTACTTATACCGCTATACTCCCTAATACTCTACCTTAACCCCGGATAATCCCTATATATAATCGATCATTCTATTTCTGTTTCTTTATATTATATTTACCGATCGTTTTAATACCCTCTTAGAGGATAATTTTACTAGTTCCACAGAGAAATAGTTTATCCGTATATAGCCGACCTATCTGTAGGGAGCCGCCCATATATAATAGTATAATTAGTTCGACCCCGCTAGACGGTAGTACTTTCGTAAATCCCTAGGGGATCTGACTATAGCCTTAGTTAAATGGTTCACCCCCGATTCGGCAATTGTAACTAGGAAGTTCAACGAAGGGAGGCTATCGCTATATAATATCTACAAAAACGAAAACGCTATATTAATATGTATCTTAAAACAGCTCCGCCTCGGCCGAACTATAGGCATCCTCTCTAAGAGCGGTAACAACTAGCATAGCATAATAATTTAAATCTAGAATAGTATAAGCGTCAACATTAAGACGGTACTACGTACCCCCCTATTGTTCAGCCAAATTAAGGACTACCTCGAAGATATTGAAAAGACTAAATCTATACTACTTATTATTGTAAGGAATAAGTATACTACTTATAGTAACTAATAAAACCGTTTCAATAAAATTTTTAAATAAACGACTAATTATAAGCGGAACTGCGAACACTATTGCAATTACAAATATAGTTATAACCGCAACCGTAGCCGCAACTACGGCAATAACTATAACTATAACTATAAATATACTAATAATTATAATTACAATCGGGCCAATAGCCGTAATTGCAATTAGCCCGGCCGTAGTAATACTAATTATACTACTAGGGACTGTACCCCCGAGCGCAATAGAAGCCGTAACCGTAGCTACAACACTAGTAGAATTTGTACTAACTATATTTATAACAATTCGGACTCGGACCTCGCCAATTTCGCAGACGACTCAGAAGGATATAGCTCGGATAATTGGGTTTACTACGTATACAATAGCCAATTAATTTATTCCAAGTACTTGAAAGAGTTCCATTTAGTAATTTTGAAATAATAATATATAAATTAATACTGTATTACTACTAGCACTAATATCGATAGGAATCTTGCCGCTATCCTTAACTTAAACTTCTATAAGTATCGAAAGTATAAGTAAGACTTTCCCTCCCAAAATTAGCTATTCAATTATATTAACTTATACGAAGCTATAGCTCCCAAGGACGAAGATACAGTATACTTTATTACTATCCTCCCCATTTAGAACGCTATCCCTTAAATAAACGAGCACTCTCGACGAGGACTACTATCTAAATTTACCTACCTTCGCGTATTTATATAAACTACCCCCGAAACGAATTTAGTAAAAGTATATATAGATCCGGGTATAAGTAAGACGATTATTAGCCGTACCTTTCTTAATACCCTCGAGTACAAAGTATCTACCGAATAATCAACTAAGGTAAAGGGAGTAGGAGGCAAGCCTATAAAATTAACAGAATAGGCTATATTTATATTCTATCTACCCAATACGAACGCTAAGGGGTACCTAACCCTTTTAAAAACTACAACAACGGGCTAAGTAATTAATAATCTCGAACCCAATCCATTACTAGCCAATTCTTTTCTCGACCCGCAATAGGTAGACATTAATTACTATATACTCGAAGTTCGTTTTCTACAAAATAACTTTAGAACGGTATATAAAGTACTAAAATTACCGAATTACTATATGAGGAAGGTTATTACAATAAAGAAGATAGTACTACGGCCTAGAGAGGAGCGTATAGTGCTAGTATACTATAGGGTAAACCTCCGCACACCCACCCCAAACCTACATACACCCAAAAACTAGGGAAATGTGGGACCGTGCAGCTGATGACACCTGACATTGTAAATCCCGTTTTTACCCGCAAAATTTCGTCCTTCAAATGTACGCAACATCCCCTCTAACTTGGTTATTTCTTTCGCTCTTTTTCACACGGCCAGTTGCACGCATTTACACCAGCACTTTGCACGTATTTCTACCAGCACTTTATACGTATCCACACTAGTACTTTATATATATTGTTTATACTCTCAACGTACGTAATCTTACTCAAATTAATTGACTTTAATCGTCTATAAATGCTCTTAATTGCGTATAATCACTAACAGTTAATAGATATCACCTTCTTCTGCACAGCAGCCTCGCCGTTGTTGCAATTCAACTACCTCGTTATTTATATTTGCAAATAATTATACCTCCTTCGATAGCAATACTAAATAGGCTATCCTACCCGACAATAGTACTTTTATTCTCCCGCCTACCGATTTAAATACTGCTATACGAAAGGTTATCGAAATATGCCGCCGCTATAGACTCAGGGTATTTATACTTCATACTGACTACTTTATAATAGGACTATATAAGGGCGAACTTTATTGTACAATCTATCGCTATAACTATGCCGAAGCTACGGCTAACGTAGATGCGAATCCCTATAAGAAACGTCGTACAAGTACTAAAAAGATCGCTAATAAGTATTCCTTCTGTATTGTAGTCTAGTGCTTAAAGAAGAACGGTTATAAGTATTCGATATAAGCGATCGATTATATATACTAAGGCTACCTCCTATCCCGAGATTTATCTTATTATTTAATTTTCCAACAATAGTCCCTCGATATAGAAAGCTATAATTATATTACGGGTTTCCTTCGTTAATAGGAGTTAACCGTACGTAATATATATATAATAATTAAGAAGTAATACCCTAAACTACTTCTTATGTATAAAGACTTTGATAATATATGCTAAAGGTTACGCTGGTAAGATAATAGGGGTTACACTAATACACAAGTATTTATACGTACCGTCGAGAACGAGAAGGTTATTGCGCTTAAATACCATTAATTTAATTACTATTGTAATAATAAAAATTAATAGGAAGAGGAGCCTACTATACTCCGCTATAATCTTTAGTATACAATTAAGTAAAGAAAAATATAGAGGCAATATCTATATACTCTACTCCTCGACGCTACGTATAAAATAAATCAGTACTATATACTAATAATATACAGTATTATAATTACCCCTAAATGGTTATTAATACTAGTCTTACAAGTAGCTATTAACAACGAGAAGGATAAGGGGTTTAACTAGCTAATTAAGTATATTAAGAAGACTATAGATAATTTATCGGTTTTAAACCAACGGTTATTATTACTAATGGTAATAACTAGCTTATTAAAGCTATTAACCAAATCTTCACAAATATTCAACATTAGCATTGTATATAGTATAAAATACAGTTCCTCTGGGCAGAGCCAAAGTCCAGGGGAGACAGAGAGACGCCCTGGAACTTGCTTTTTCTCAAAAAGAAAAAAAAAAAAAAAAGGTCAAAGCTGAACTGAACAGATAACCTTTACAAAAGGTAACCCTAATAATAACCATTGAGCTATGAAGCGTAAAGAGTTTCTTAAATAAGTAGTTGGATTTCCTCCCCCATATTACTCCTTTAAAAAAATAAAATTAAAAAAAAAAATTAAAATAAAAACTCGAAGGCAAAATTTTAAATTTTTTTTTACTTTTTTTTCTCTTTTCCAGAATTTCCAATTTTTAACCCTAACCCTAACCCCTCCTCCGAATCTTCAGGGTCAAAGGTCTAGTCTGGGATTTGGTTATTTTTGGGACTTGGTCATTTTTGGAACTTGGTCATTTCCAAGCTACGGTCGCAACCAAAATTCTTATTTTTAACTTCTTTTGCATTTTTCTCGACAACCAGGGCGTGCACTACAATGCGACCGGTACCAAAATGACCGCCTTTCTTTTCTGGTTATTTTTACACCATATGCAATTTGATGTACGCGATAATAGAAGAGGAATCTCCGTTGTAAAGGAAAAAGTGGCTTTTTCGCTCTGCTATTCAAACAGTGTCTTGCTTGGCGCTAAGTTTTCCTATTTGGGCCTGCCAAGCACGTGCCAAAACGGGTAATTTTCTGCATTCTGGCCTATTATAGACAGATACGCCGCGCCTTCCTCGCTTGCGGCGTTGGAGTGGGCCTATAGACCACGACCTTTAGTATAGATCTTCCATGTCACCTTTCGGGCCCACGACAACGGCCGGGCAAGCTCTGAAAGCATGGGCGTCTCAATTAACTACAACATTATTGAATATTTCAAAGATAATTGGGAGCGTATAGAGCTAGATAGTAATAAGCAGCAGTTTAGTAATTAGGGTAAGGATGGCGAAGAATCTAGTAAGGAGGAGGATGGTAGTAATAATTCCAATAGTACTCAAGCGGCGGCTCGGAAAATATAACGAGAGGTAATAGATTAATATAGTTAAAATAATCTTAATCGATTATACTATATATATAAAAAGATTAAAATAATTATAAGGACGTAGGCTAAACTAGGCCCGCTCCCTACGAAGGTTACCAATTTATAGGCAGGCTTCTTTTACGTATAGTAATATATAATCTATACCCTATTAGTACCGGAGTTTAAAGCCGCCTTATCACTTCTATATCGCCAAGTTAAGGAAGTACAGGAAACTATTATTAAATAAATTACAGCCAACTTACTCCTTTATAAGAAGGAGTAGGCTAGTTATTACACGAAGAACTATTTAAATTGTAGGTAACGGACTATATCGCTAAATAAATCTAATAATAACTCCTTTAAATTATATAGGTTATTTACTCGTAGCAGTCTAAGAGATCTATACTATACTAATAATAAATATATTACCCACTATTATATCTATTTGAAGGAGGAGGTTACAAAGGCAGCCTTACGCATACGTATAGACTAGATCGGACGCCTATAGGTAGGCAATACTTCTCTTAATATAATAGCGTAGGTATAAAGTTACTCACTCGCTAGTATAACTAATTGAAAATTATTCTCCCTACTACTAATCACCCTAGTACACCCCTTAAGTTATATATTTAATAGTTTAGAGCCTAGTATAGCTTCCCTTATGTCTATAAGATGGAAGTAAAGAGGGAAGCTAGTAAGACGGTCTTAGTTACAAAGGATAATTGTTATTTATTTTAGTATTTGGTTCAACGATGGGTAAGATTACTACTATCCCCTTCCCGGTTATCCCTATACTAACTACTACGTTGGGATATGGTAGATAAATATTTATATCTTCGCTTGGCCGCTAAGGGTATACCTAAAGGTCGCCCTCCTAAATAGGGTAGCCTATTTAGCGATGAAGCTATTCTACTAAGTAGGTTATCTAGCCGGGTAACCCAGGGCAAGAAAGCTAGTACGGTAGCGCCCCGTAGTAGATCGAGGAATACCCAGCCTATACGGGCTTTAATACGGCGAAATTACTCCTAGTACGAGGTGGGGCCTAGTATTGAGTAACTAAATGCCCAAAACGAAATATATAGCTATATTAAGGTACCTGACGAAAATAAGGATGAGGATAACGAATTAGGTAGATATTAGGAAGCGAGGGCGAGAGAGGAGGTTATTAAAATATTATCAATAGCCTCCTCTAACGAGCTATCTGAGTTGTTAAATATTAGTATTTAGAGTAGAGTAGAGTAGAGTTCCCTCAATACTATAAAAGTATTACCAGATTGGCGCTGTTACATTTACTATATGGGATTTGCTGGGTTAGAATGTTGTAAGACATCACAAATCACGGTTTTTACGGCTAAAACGACGTATTTTACATAATAGCTAATATCCCCCCTTTTTGAGTGTATGTAGGTTTGGGGTGGGTGTGCGGAGGTTTACCTATACTATATTACCCTCCCGAAGGATAGAAGCTTCTTCGATTCTTCTTACCCTGCTACTGTAAGCGCTATTATCAATACCTACTCCCTTATAATCGCTTTAATAAAAAACATAATTAGTAAAATAGTTACTATTCCCCGGAAGTAAAAGATCGGCAAGATAACGGAATATAATGTAAACGTCTTTATCGCTACAATATAAACCGACGTTTACTATACCGCTATAACTACCTAGGTTTTAAATATTATAGAGAACAATGGACTAATAGTCGATTAAATAATTAATACTGTCTATCAAGCATACTACATCCCAACAAACGTCGACCTCAACTTTGATATTACTACTCTTACTAACGTAATAACTATACTACCCGTAACGCTAAACCGAACCGATATAATGCCCGACCCCGTATCTACCGAAACCCAATTCCCCCTACCCAAAATACTAAAAAAATAGTTAACTCTAAGCATCCCAATGGATAAAAAGGTACCTAAAATTATAATAGAAGAGTGTGTACATATTTACGTCGGTAATGAATAAATGGTAGGGGTATTGAAATATTTTACTATTCAATTTTCTAAGCTATAGAAAGAGGGCAGGATTCATTCAACGAGGATATAATAAAAGTGCTATTAGTATATAGTTAGTAGAACTATAAAGTAACCGCTAAAATATACCTAGTAAATAAAAAGGATCAGGTAATATTCGACAAAATCTTCGATACTTTATATAACCAAGGTAAAATGGATTGGGTAGAATACGCTATACCCTTTACACACCCTATCTTTATTATATAGCGCGAAATAAAGAACAGCCGTAAAGGCTGTCTAGTAATCGATCTACGAATCCTAAATAGTATAATAATCCTGAATAATTACCCCCTACTACTATAGGGAGAGATTATCGCCTTTATAAGGGGTAAGGTGATTATTATAATTATTAATACCGTGTCCTTTTTCTACTAATTTAGAGTATAGTAGAAATATCAGGACTAATTTATATTAATTACCTATAGAGGCCTCGAATAATTTATAGTAATATAAAAAGGCTTTAAAAATACCTTAATATATATATAATACTTGATAAATATATTATTATAAGACTATAGGGAATATTATTATATTTATATTGACGATATTGTGATTGCGTCCGATTTGGTAGATAATTATTACAAATATTTAGACGCTATATTTTCCCTATTCGTTTGAAAAAACATCGTCTTATTCCCCAAAATATTATATTTAGAATACCTTAAGGCGTTTACTCCGCGGGCACCCGGGTCGTCTTACACGGGCACCCAACCTTATACGAGCACCCTGCGGGTTAGGGTTTAACGTGTAGATTTTTTTCTTTCAACCCTTTAATACCATCAAACAGTAACCATACAACTACATTTCCATACAAACGGTGCCCAGCCTAATTAACTAGTAGAACCCCCATTCACTTGTACTTATACTTGATACCTAGATCTTTGAACCTTCTTTTTGCTCCCTCTTTATAACTAGACTAGCTGTAAACACCAGAATAGGCTAGAATCGACCGTACGTACGTGGATTTTAATCGTATTAATTACTAGAAGTATTTATTGACCTTCCTAAAGATTTAGAACTATTCAAAGACTAAAATAGCGTTAATCCGAGAACCAACCACAACTACACCCATCGACCTCACCTACATTGAAGACGGCGATACCTCTAATAATACTATTACTAATCCAGCCAGTAATAAAGAGGAGGAGTGGGAAGGCTTCTTTGACAACGATAACAAACCCGAAAATAAGCTCGTTAATTATAGAGATAGGATTATTAATCTACCCTCTAGTACTATACTTTCTACGGTTACAATTAAAAGTTCTTTATAAAGCTATTAACGAATAGGTAAAGGCTTACGGATTTGCAATTAACTATATATAAGGCTGCGGTAAGCCTAGAGCTACTATTAAAGACTATATACAATATTATATGATTTATAACCGTTAGAGTAAACCCCGGGAATCTATAGTAACTACTCGAAAGATAGCCTTACGTAAGTATAAATATAAATAGAAAATACTTATAAATAAGGATATCAAAGGCGATAGTCTTTAGTACTTTCGCTTACATTTTAATCCAAACTTCTAAATTTACAACTATAGCTAGTCCTAGTACCTATCTACGCACCCCCAATACTATAAAATAAAGCTAGATATTTTCAAGAAGATTAATGATACTTCGAAATTTAATACTATATAAATTCGAAAGATTATGATTATAGTACGAAAGGAGTTTCCTAGATTTATATATATACGAGCTAATATATACAATGTACGCGCAAAGATTCGACGTTGTAATCTCGATGGCTATACCCCTACTAGTACCCTAATAAAGTTATTTAATAATAATAATATTGAATACATCAAAAAGATGGATCTAAAAGATTTAGAACGTTTATTAGGTCTTATCTTAATTTTCCAAACTCATATAGAAATAGCCAAAATATTTCTAAAGGTCATAATTATAGACAATATATATAATACTAATCGGTTTAATTACCCCTTCTACTAAGTTTCAAGCGTCTCTTCTATTAGTACAATATTTAATTATATCTTTAGTATTATTAACGACGAGAAAAAGGAAGCCTCTAATTTTTTAGTCGAGGCTACCTATAAATTGAAATTGCAATATAATTCACTAACTCCCTGTACTATTATTACAAATAAGTATAAAGAAATAAAGTACGTATTAGGTAGAGTATTCCCTAATACCCAACAATAACTCTATTTATTCTATATTATTAAAAACGTTCTATTTAATGCCAAAAAGAAATAGAAGAAGTAGAAAGATAATAGAGATAATAACTCTAAGGATAAGGAGGGTAAAGATAATTAGGAGAATCCGGTTTCTTTTAATCTAACCGATTAAATAGTCTACTCATTAATACAAACCAGCGGTACTTTTAGTAAATCGATTACTTCTATGGTTAAAATACCAAGATTATAAATACTCCCTATAGTATTGTGGCTATATTCAAGCTTATAATATATACTAATATCGAGCTAGAGTTCTAAGCAGCTTAAAAAAAATTAAAGAAGCAATTCGAAGGTCAAATACTAGTTCTTCAATATATTTAGAAGAACTGGCTACCCATTAGAGATCAATAGGCATACTATTATATTAAGAAATACCGCAATTTTAGGATTAGAGTCACATTACCCGTTGAATCGAATAACCTCAACGTTAAAAGCTACCTTCTTAATAG